TGTGAGTGTGTGTATGTGTGAGTGTGTGGGTGTGTGTATGTGAGTGTGTGTATGTGTGAGTGTGTGTATGTGTGGGTGTGAATGCTGTGTGTCTGTGTGGGAGTCAGAAGACTACTCATGGGGGCTGGCTAACCTTCCACCATGGTAATACTGGACATGGCTGGTCTGTCTGCACACACAAAGCCTTGGATTCTGTCCCCAGTGCTGCCACAGAGGAGAGCAGGAGAAGGTGGAATAGACAAGGTTTGGGTCAGCAGCAGGCCTCTGTGGGTCTGGTGGTCTGCATGCAATCCGGGGACCACATGTGCCGTTTGCTCTCTGAGGCCGGCTCTGCTGCTTTCTGCGTTCACCGTTGCCCTGGCTGGCCAGCCTCAGCCTCCTAAGGAGCAGGAATGACAGGCTGCACCACTGGCACTGGCAATCTGTTGTATTAATTTTACATTCAACTTTTAAAAATGGTTGTTAGCACAGTTGGTCATACAATATCGGGTCTCCTGACATTTCCATACATGTCTGCCATGCACTTTCCACCCCCTTCCCCCCTCCCACTGTCCCTTTCCCCTTCCCAACGAGGGAGGGGGCCGCCTTCGACTTTCAAGTCTTTTTACTTCAGAGACCGAAAGTGGTAAATTCGGGTTGCTTTTAGGAGCAGGGGTGTTTAAAAAATCCTCTCACATTTCTTCAAATAGGTTCAAAAATAGTATTTGGGCCTACATTTTCCTCTTTGTTTCTAGTTCACTAACATCCTTAATCTTTTCTTCCCCTCCCCTTCCCTCCCCTCCCCTCTCCTCCTCTCCTTCCCTCCCCTCCCACATCTCTATCCCTCAAGCCCTGGGATAACAGGTACGCACCAGCGTCCCCCCACTTGGCATTGTCCCCGTCATGCGTGTGTGTGGAATCTGACTGGCAACTGGTGATCTCACTAGGGGACCTGACAGCCCACGTGACCCCTCTCGGTGGACTCTGCTGGGCAGCCGGTGGGTGGGGCACGGGCCGGCTCGCCCGGACAGAGCAGGTAACCGCTTCCCGCGCGAGCCCGCATCACCGGGCTGACGCCGGGGGACTCTCGCCCGCGCTGAGGCGGGTACCGACCGCTGCGTCCTGCACGCGGCGTCCTGCACTCGGGAGCCTGGCCGCGGCGAGGTGGTCTCTCCCGTCCGGCCGCAGGGATGCTGTAGGCGGAGACCCGCAAACGGTACCAACGGGTTCCTCTAGGGACCCCGGAGAGTGAGCAACGGTTAAAAACCTTGTTTTTAGGATGGGCGTGGCAAAACTGTGTTTGCAGAGGCAGGAGGATTTCTGAGTTCGAGGCCAGCTTCATCTACATAGGAAGTTCCAGGACAGCCAGAGCTACACAGTGAGACCCTGTCTCTAAATACTAAGCAGACTCACTCCTTTAATCCCAACACTCGGGAGGCAGAAGCAGGCAGATTGCTGGGAGTTCGAGGTCAGCCTGGTCTACATAGCAAAGTCTGGGACAGCAAGAGCTACATAGAGAAACCCTGTCTCATGAAACAAAATAATAAATAAATATGGTATAGAAAAATACTCGTGATGTAATAGAAGAAAATTGTATAATTTATGAGAAATTCATAAGTATATAGAGAGATATTAATACATAAGTTATGTCCTGTGTATAATAATACCCACATATAATATACTCTGACAAAAGTTTCCGTGTTCAAACAAGTTTGTAAGTTCAGCTGTGTCCCCTTCTAAAGCCTAAAAGGAGCAAACATTTAACAATGAGGATTTGTCAGTGGGGTTTTTTGTTTTATACTCTTGAGACAAAGTCTCACTGTGTAGCCCAAGCTGGCCTCCAACTCTTGATCCCTCTGGGTCAGCCTCAGCAGTTCTGGTAAAATCAGGGTATCTTTTAAGATCATACAGGCCATGAACCTAGTAAAACTAAAACCTCAACTGTCCAGCAGCAAACTGGAGAGATAGCATTTAGCAGCTAAGAGGACTTACTGTTCACAGCATCTACAGCAGCCTGTAACTTCAGCTCCAGATCTGATGCCCTCTCTGGCCTCAGGCTCCTACACTCATGCACACCCTGCCCCCCTCACATAATTAAAAAAGAAAATGAACAAGGAGGTACCCCTCCTAGCAAATAGCACTTTCCCTTCTCAAGTTCAAACCTTGCTGGACATCCCTGTCAGAGAGGATGCTGGCTGCACTCTGCCTACAGAAGTGGCCAAAAGGTACTTCCTAGTGGTAGAAAAACCTGGGGGCTGCAACCCCAGTACCAACCCAAGGCAAATCTGTGTCTACAGCTGTGCATGAGTGTAAATTAGACTGTTGTTACTCTGGCAGGGAAGGATGTTAATGTGTAAAGTGCTGTCTTAATATCCCTACCGACTAGAGGGCTTACTATGAGGGTATAAGAACCTGAGTTTAGTGCGCGGTGCCCACATAAAAGCCTGGAGTGGACCAGCCTGGTCTACAAGAGCGAGTTCCAGGACAGCCTCCAAAACCACAGAGAACCCTGCCTCAAAAACAAACAAAACAAACAAACAAACAAACAGAGAGCCTGGTGTGGTGGCATGGGGCAAGTGGAGACAGGTGCATCCACAGTTCACATATTAGCCAGTTTAGCTGAAAATGAACACTATGGTCAAGAAAAACATCTGGTGTTGAACTCTGACCTCCACATACACGTACACACACACACAAGTGAACATACACTCACAAAAGAGAAAAAAACAGCAGGTATTTTCACTATTAAAACTTTTATTGCTGGGCGGTGGTGGTGTACACCTTTAATCCTAGCACTTGGGAGGCAGAGGCAGGCAGATCTCTGCATTTGAGGTCAGTCTGGTCTACAGAGTGAATTCCAAGACAGCCAGGGCTACAAAGAACCCCCCCTCTGTCTCTCTCTCTCTCTCTCTCTCTCTCTCTCTCTCTCTCACACACACACACACACACACACACACAGTAAAATAATAAACCTCCCCACAACCTAACCCCAAAAGGAACACTTTCTGCCTTTTACTTCCCTGTGCCTCTCTGGACACCGGTTCTACCCTAAAGTCTTCTGTTTTTGGTGACCTCAAGACCCCTTTAGGAGTTGAGCTAGAGAAGAGAACCCCATGGACCAGCCTCCTAAAGAAATTCCCAAGGCTCAGAAGGAAGAGCCTGTGGAAGAAGAGCCCACGTCCAGCAAGAAGAGCAACCATCCCACATCCCTGTCGTGGGGCTTCAAGACCAGAGACGTCCGGATCACCAACATCCCGAACCACTTCCAGGTGAAGAAGACAGAGAACATCCTCATCTTGGTGGCCTTCTCCATTGGTCTTGGCAGCATGTGGCGGTTCCCCTACCTATGCCACAGGAACGGAGGAGGTAAGGCCAGGGTCTGCTCTGTGAGGTCAAGGAAGGGGTGTCAAGGTCCCCAGGGAGGAGTGGAGGGAAGGGTGAGGGGCTCCCAGCTGCCTGAGCCAGGCCCCGCCCACCCTCAGGCAGCTTTTTGCTGATGTACTTCATCCTGCTGCTGCTGCTGGGGATCCCTCTCTTGTACATGGAGATGGTCATAGGACAGTGGCTACGTATGGACAACATCAAGGCCTGGAAGCAGCTGGCCCCCTGGCTAACTGGTTTGGGCTACTCCAACATACTGGTAGGTGGGGGCGGGCAGACCCACAAGCCCCTGGCTCCCTGTCTCCTCCACATCACCCACCCCTCAGGGCCACCTTGCCCTCCACAGGCTAGTATGTTGGTGAGCTTGTACAACAGTGCCCTGATCTCCTGGAGTCTCTTCTACCTTGGCCAGTCCTTTGATTACCCCCCGCCCTGGGAGCATTGCCCCATGGTGGAGAACATCAGCGTGACAGGTGAGGAGAGGGCAGGGCGGTGGGTTGGCTGAGTTGCAAGAGCTAAGGGAGGCTCCATGTGAGGAAGGTATCTGGATCTTTGCACTCCCACCCCCAGATGCCCCCTGCCTTCGGACAGTGCCCCACCAGTACTTCTGGTATCACAGCACACTGCGAGCCTCCAAGCAAGTGGAGGAAGGGCTTGAAATGCTGGTGCTGCATATCACCCTGTGCCTCTTTGTCACCTGGATCATCCTCAATGTCATCATGATCATTAGGATAAAGATTTCAGTGCTAGTGAGTGCCCCAGGGCCACCTCCCGGCTGAGCCTCAGGGCCACCAATGTCTCCAGCAAGGGTCCATGAAAGAGGCCACAACCACCTCCAGGAAGCTTGACCTGACTCCCTGGTCACCACCCCTCATACCCACATCTCTGCGCAGAAACTTGTCTCTCCTGTCTCCCAGGTTGCCCTGCTCCCCCACCTCCCTGGGCTTTGTGTGTGTGTGAATCTGCAGAGCTATTTTCCTTTCTAGTACCTCACCTGTGGTGTATGAGGGTCTGTGGCTGCCTCCATCACCACGTTCTGGACAATCTCACACATCCCTGGAGGCCCAGCACACTCTCTTGACACAATTCCTGCAGTCACAGACTCCATTAGGACTAGCGGGCCCAGTGTGAAAGGGCCTGCTCTTCTCATCATCACTATGACCTGACAAGAAGCAAATTTGAGGGTATACTGTGGATGGGATGGCACAGCAACATGTGGCCCATGGCACCAGGTGCATATGGCTGGGAATGTGCACACCCTCAGGTCTCCACAGAACAGGAGGCAGAGTGGGCTACATGCTGTGTTCATGAGGCTTTCTCCTCTTCTCTCTTACTCCATCCAAGGTAGGTCTTTCCCGATGAGTAAATCCTCAATAACACAGCCACACAGACACACCCAGAGGCATGACTCAACCTCCTGGGTGAGTCTCAGTCCAGTCAGGTTGACAATGAAGATTAGTCCTCACAGGCTAGGGAGAAAGAAGCATGGGCAGACAGTGGTGACACACCCCAGCACTTGGGAGACAGAGGCAAGCTCAAACTCTCTTGAGTTTGAGGCTAGCCTGGTCTACAGAGTGAGTTCCAGGACAGCCAAGGCTACACGGAGAAATCCTGTTTCATAAAACAAAGACACAGAAGCATGAGGGCCTGAGTTGGATCGCCAGCACCCATGTAAATAGACAGACATACAGGCAGGCTTGTAACTCCAGCACGGGTGTCGTGGAGACAGGCGGATCCCAGGAGCTTTGTCTATTCAGTGTGCTCCAGGGCAGTGAGTCCCGCTCTCAGAAAACAAGGTGGACAGCAAGAAGGAATGGAGCTAGCAGGGCCCGAGACTATGGTAGGACTTTATGGGGAAAGAAGGAGGGAAATAAACAAAGCGACTTTGAAGACTGGAAATGGTTGTGTGATCTGGGAGCATGGGTGATGCTGGGCGGGCACTGGGAGGCTCCTGTCATCACCTGTGTGTGCAGCTGGGTGTGTACAAGCTTGTTCAGGCCACACATCAACCTTGGGTGTCATTCCTTAGGCACCGTCCACCATGTTCATTCATCTCCCACTGACCCTCCTGCCTACCCTCAGGCCTGCTAATGTTTTCTCTGTCCTCCTCCCTGCTTTTCTTGACCAACCTGGCTAGATGCTGATTTTCTCCATATTCTTCCCCTACGTCCTCCTCCTCTGCTTCTTCATCCGTAGTCTCTTCCTGCAAGGTGCTACGGCTAGCCTTAGGCGCCTGGTGACCACAGAGGTGAGTCCTTGTCTACCTCACTTCCCCAGGCCTCCCCTCTGCCAAGCCTTTGCCCCTCTGTTGTCCTCACCTCCACTGACTCCCTGGTGACCACAGCTGAGAAGCCTCCCCTCTCCTACAGCTCGATTTCCTGTCATCACTGGACGCGTGGCGTCAGGCTGGAGGCCATGTGCTCTACTCCCTTGGCCTTGGCATGGGCACCATCATCACGTTCTCTTCCTACCAGACTAGAGGTGACAATTATATCAAGTTGGCCTCCATCATGGCCATGGTCAACCTGGTGACGTCACTGCTGAGCACTGCCATCATCTTCCTGGTGCTGGGGTTCTGGACAACAACCAGCGGGTCCAGCTGTGTTGAGAAGTGAGTGACATAACCGACAATGAGCAGCAGAGCCATCCATCTCAGCTATTCTTGAGCTCCAGTCCTGTATGTCAAACCCTTCCATTGGAACCCACTTTACCTTATCCTCAGAGTCAACAACCAAAAATAAGGGAATCCAATGCCCAGTGGAAGACAAGTCTCAGAATTTGCAAATGAAGCTAAGTAGCATTTCCAGATTGCTTATTGAACCCACAAGGCTGCTGTCACAGCTTGCCACGATGCAGGTGGGCAGCAGCTGCTGGCTGGACTGTGTGTTGGAGTTGGGAAGTACTAGATGTTTGAGCTTTGTCTAGTTGCTCTGCTTTATTGGTCCTGGGTGTAGCCAGGCACTAGGTTTTTGTTTGTTGCTTTTCTTGTTTTGCCTTTTTTTTTTTTTTTTTTTTTTTTTTTTTTTTTTTTTTTGAGACATGCTCTCCCTGTCTATTTACAACTGGCCTGTACTTCACTGTGTAGACCAGGCTGGCCTCACAGTCATAGAGATCCATCTACCTTGTCAGGTCTGGCCAACAAGTCTATCTGTATGTTCCTGAGAAGGGGAGTGTGCACTGAGGAAAGAAATAGACAAGAGACGGAAGATAGAATCGGGAGGGCACTCAGTGAATACTGAAAAAGCCCCAAGTTTATTACTCACAGTCCTTATATACCCCAACCAAAAGGGGAGGGCAAAAGACTTCATGATACAAAGAACAAGCAAGCGTAATTACCTTCTCAGTACCCAAAACATCTGGTTGTCTGCCCTAAAGCAAACATCCTGTAATTTGTTCTTGAGGATCAAGACATCCCTGTAGTTACACCTTTGGCCAAACAGCCTGTTATTTAACCTGGGGGAGCAAGAATAGGTTTGAACTCTCTTAACATTAAGTCAAGATGGAATGGAGTTAAATCTGTAGGCCCCCACACTGCCTCTGCCTCCCAAGTGCTGGGATTAAAGGTACATGCCAAGACTAGAGAGATTTCTCAGTGGTTAAGAACACTGGCAGCAAGTAGCGGTGGCACACACCTTTAATCCCAGCGCTTTGGAGGCAGAGACAGGTGGATCTCTGAGTTCCAGGCCAACCTGGTCTACAAAGCGAGTTCCAGGACAGCCAGGGCTACACGGAGAAACCCTGTCTCAAAAAACAAAAAACAAAAAAAATATGTTTATTTAAAAATAAATAAATAAGATGGCTGTGCATAGTGGCACATACCTTTAATCCCAGACTCATGAGGCAAAAGCAGGCAAGACTTTGTGAGTCCCAGCCAAGGCTGGACAGCATCAGGCCAGCCATGATTGCATACTCTGGAAATGTTCACAGATTTTTATTTATGTGTACTTGTCTGGGCCTGTGTGACTTTATGTGCACCCCTTGCATGCAGGAGCACAGAGAAGCCAGAAAAGGGCATCGGGGCCCTGGAGCTGGTCTTGGAAACTGCTGTGAGCTGTCATATGGGTGCTGGGAACAAAACTCAGCTTCTTTGCAAGAGCAGTGAGGGCTCTGAACTGATGAGCCATTGTTTTGTTTCTTTTCATCTTTTTTTAAGTTAGAGAGAGAGAGAGGAGAGAGAGCAGGCAGCAGTGGCACACACCTGTAATCCCAGCAAATCTCTGAGTTCCAAAACAGCCAAGGCTACACAAAGACACTGTCTCACAACAGCAACAAAAACACCACACACACACACACACACACACACACACACACACAGAGAGAGAGAGAGAGAGAGAGAGAGAGAGAGAGGGCCCCCAAACCATGGCATACACCTTGGACAATGTCCCCATTACTTGGTCCTCATTCTCCTTGGTTGGTGATCGCTGCTGAGCCAGCAGCCTGCTCTCTACCCATCTTGTTTTCTCTTCCTAATCTTTCAGGACTATCACCAATCTGGTCAAGCTGATAACCAAAGGTGTGCTGTCCCAGGCTGTATGGCCTCCCCAAGACCTCATCCACAAACCTCCACTGGAGTACTTACTCTGGATCAACCAGCTCCCCAGGAACCTCCAGGAGGAGGTGGTCCATTTCTCTCTGCCCTGCAGCATCCTGGTGCAAACGGAAAAGGTGTGCTTGTCAAAGAGACCAGGCTGGCAGCCTCACAGCTGTGTGCCTCAGCTGCATTGTAGCACACATTAGGGGACCCAGGAAATGAAGGTCACCCAGGTCACACAGCCAGGGAGGGTCAACGATCAACACTGTTACCTCAGCTTCCATGCTGAGTGTCATTACCCGTAACAAGCATTACTAATCAAGTACTACTCAACCCCACCCATCCAGATATTGCCCTGCCTTAGAGCCCTTCTCCCCCACAGTTCATGCAGGGCCCTGGCCTGGCATATGTGGCCTTCTCTCAAGCCGTCTCATTGTTTCCTGGTTCCTCTTTCTGGGCCATCATCTTTTTCATGGCTCTGGTCATCACGGGTATGGGCACCATGATAACGCTCCTGGAGGGCATCGTGCTTCCCCTACAGAACAACAATCCTACTTTGTCAAAGCATCCGAAGCTGGTACCAGGTACAAAAGCCCCTACCCTGAAACCTTCCCCATACTTGCCTCACCCCAAGCATCCAGGGTTCACATGGACCCCCCAACTCACAAACCCCAGTGCAGCCCTGCCCACCTCCACCTTTAGTGTTCATCTGCTTGGGAGGACTTCTGGGCAGCCTGGTCTTCACCAGCCGCCCCGGCAGCTATGTGGTGTTCCTGTTCGATGACCACGTGGTCCCTATGGTCCTCATCATCATTGTGGTGTTCCAGAACCTTTCTCTGGCTTGGGTCTATGGAATCAAGAGGTGATTTTCAATCCCTGTGGGTGGGGGGAGGGGTTAGATTAGCTATCAAGTCCATTCTAGTCCTCGGGGGCACTCCATGGGAGTCAAGGTCCTCAGACAGCAGGCAGACCCTATGGAAAGATGCAGCCCCGAGTGCCCTGAAGGCCAAGGGATGTGGTGCCACAGTCCCATGGACTGAACGAGTCTCATGGGGTAACAAAACATGGCTCAGAGCCAGGGATGGCCTGTCCCCCACACCAAACACCAGGAGATTCTGAGAGAGCCAGAGATGGAAGGTGTATCTGTGCCCAGGCCCTCACACCCTGGTGTCTCTCCTTCATCCAGGTTCAGGGCTGAGATGTTCGGCCAGCTGGGCCGCCTGGTGTGGGCACCCTTCACCTTCCTGTGGAGCTACGTGACGCTGCCCACACTGCTGGCTCTGCTCACCATTTACTTCCTGAATTTCTACCACAGTGAATCCCTTTACTATATCTCCTGGAATGACAGTATGGTGCGGCCCTGCCCGTGGGAACCCGGGGGCCCAGCACCCTACCCGACACCTCCTATCCTCAGGGACCTGGGGACACTGCACCCAGACTGAACCCTTCCCTCTGTGGTCTACTGCCCCTATCCTCAGAGCCAGGAAGTGAAGCAGCCTTACCAGAAGGTAGCCCTGGGCTGGGTCACCTTCCTCAGTGTCCTGGCACTGCTGCCGATCCCCATGTACCCGCTGCAGCACTGGTGGCACCTGGACAACCAAATCATCTGTGAAATCGTACAAAGCCCTGAAAAGACAGAAACAGCACCCAACAAGACCAACCTTATGTCTATGCCTGCACACCCCATCAGAAAATTCACCATCAGAGTCCAGGACAAAGGCTAGGTTCTCCTCTCAGGCAAGAGTCCCACAGAGGGCTTCTTCCTTCATCCCCCAACCATGTTGACAAAAGAAAATGAAAACTACACCCCCTTCAGCCTTCATGGGGGCACCATCTCCCTCAACTACCCCTGAGGCACTGAAACCCTCCGCCCTCCTAGCAGGTGATCTTGGCTACCACAGCACTGGACAGAAGTGACAGGCATGAGGCTTCTGAAGTGGCCATGTCACCTGTTCGGTAACTGGTGATGTGCACCAAGCCAGTACCTGCCCCACCGAAAGCAGAAGACATGAACGAAGAAACCCAGCCCAAACTTCTATGGGAGCCCTCACTGGGCCTCAGATGGACATGGCCAACTCAGAAGCCCATCTTCCAGCAATCCAGGTCTGTGCCCATGGCAGGCCCAGGGTCCCCTGACTCTCTGAGATATGGACACAGTTTTGGTGTGCCCAAATGAGTATCCAGCATGGCCCCAGGTACTGAGAGATATAGTGCTCCCTCTGGCCCTGCTTCACCATCCCAGGGATAATGGTCTCAGATGGTGCCAAAATAGCAATATTGTCTGTCAATAAATGAGGTATACACATAACAGCTGTGGGCACAGTGTTCTCTCTCACACACATGTGCTTCACACAGTAGCTTAGGGGCCATGTGGGAGCTGCAGGAGGGACTACCTTCCAGGGTCTAACCTGGTATCCATCACCTTGCTGACTCCCAGGACTGAGTCTGACCACCAGTCCCTGTCACTGCTGTTACCAAGAACCATCCCTGGCATACCACCTTCTGTGAGTTCCTGATAGGAGTAGAGCCCAGTGCTCAGCAGCTTCTGGGCCACAGACTGTTCCCTAGCAACTGGTCCCATCTCTATCTGCTGGTCTCTGGATAGCCCTTATCACACGCCTATCTGTGAGGATTTTCCAAGGAAACATCCCTACCACTAAAAACCCATATCATAAACACACCTTTGCCTTTATTTTGCTATTTATTTATTTATTTATTTATTTATGGCTTTTTGAGACAGGGTTTCTCTGTGTAGCTTTGGAGCCTGTCCTGGCACTCACTTTGTAGACCGGGCTGGCCTCAAACTCACAGAGATCCACCTGCCTCTGTCTCCCCAGTGCTGAGATTAAAGGCGTGCGCCACCACTGCTGGGCTATTTTTATTTTCTTATTGAGCTAAAATAGTGAAAAATAAGACAACCAAATTTCTCCTTTTTTGAAACATTTATTTATGTATATGAGTGTTTTGTTCATATATGCATCATGTACATGAACCATGTGTGCACTTGGTTCCCTCAAGAACCATGGCGTTGCCTGGCAGAGGTGGTGCACGCCTTTAATCCCAGCACTCGGGAGGCAGAGGCAGGCGGATCTCTGTGAGTTTGAGACCAGCCTGGTCTACAAGAGCTAGTTCCAGGACAGCCTCCAAAGCCACAGAGAAACCCTGTCTTGAAATCACCACCCCACCCCCCAAAAAAGAAGTGTGGTGTTGAGAAGAGAGCATTGGATTCCCTGGAACTGGAATTATAGGTGTTTGTGAGCGGCCATGCATATGCTGGGAGCCCTCTCTCCAGCCTCTAGAGTTCTTGAGAGGTAGGCATGATTTTTATCTGACATTGGAATCACTCACTGAAGTGGGGGCATCTAATACACTGTGGTGCCCTCCAGACAAAACAGTGACATGATCTCAGTGCTGCATTCTTGGTCCCAGAGGCCTACTGGGGATCAGGAGGTCACCTGATTTTACCTGAGAGGAAACATCACATAAGTCCAAACAGGAATTTCAAGTAACAAGCAGTCAGTGCCTTGGGGGATGGCTGAGAACCAGCCCAGACCTGACCATGGATTGGGTCCCAGATTAGGGACAGTATTTTGTTTTGTGTTTTTTTTGTTTTGAGATAGATCTCAGTATGTAGCTTTGGCTGTTCTGAACTCACTCTGTAGACCAGGCTGGGCCCAAATTCAAAGAGATTCACCTGCCTCAGTCTCCCAAGTGGTGGGATTTAAAGGTGTGTGCCACCATGCTTGGTTTGGGACAATTGGGTTTTTTTGTTTATTTTGTTTGTTTGCTTGTTTGTTTAATGTTAAAAAAAGAACTATTGTGGCACTTAAAAGAAGTGAATGGGGTCTGTAATTAGAAGTAGATCAGGGTTGAGTTCCTGGGGCTGGAGAACTGGCCGAGCAGTTAAAAGCACTTGCTGCTTTTGCAAAGGACCAGAGTTAGGTTCCAGTACCCGTATTGAGTGGCTCACAGCTGCCTGTAACTCCAGCTCCAGGTGACATTTCCTAAGTTGCTTTCCACTACTTGATAAACACCATGACCAAAAGCAGCTTAAGAAGGAAAGGCTTCTGACAGGATGTAGGTTCTAGTCCAGCAAGAAGAGAAGCCAGGCAGGAGCCCAGAGCAGAGGCCATGGGGACAGTGCTTAGCAGCTCTCTCCCCCTGGCTTCCTCATGGCCTAGGAACCGCACAGGCCACAGTGGGTTGGACCCTCTCACATCAATCATTAATGAAGAGAATGACCCACAGACACACCCACATGCCATTCTGGTGGAAATAATTCTTTGGTTAAGGTCCCTTTTCCCAGGTGAGTCTCTAAGTTTCCGTCTAATTGATAATGAAAAGTTACAGGATCCAATGTCCTACTCACTGTATTCTCTCTCTCTCTCTCTCTCTCTCTCTCTCTCTCCTCTCTCTCTCACACTCACACACACACACACACACACACATACACACACAACACACACACAACACCACCACCACCACCACCACCACCACCACCACCACCACCACCACCACCACCCACCACCACCACAGATGAGGGAGACAAGAGATTAATGGGAATTTTGGAGGAGGCTGATGAGGAAGCCTACATGTCTGCTGTGTGTGGAAAGAAGTTGGGTCTTAGCCTGAGTCCAGATATGCAGAGTTGATGGAAGGAGTGACCCAGGAGACATGGAGGGATTTGATATTTGTCTAAATTCAAGCAGAGATTGCATATAAGGAGGAGGTTGTTGGTTATATTTTCATCAACTTGTCACAAATTTAGAGACACCTGGGAAGAGGGCCTCTTGTAAAACGAATAAATGACCCTGAAAGACCCTCAAATCAAGGAGTCTCCACAAATCGGATGGTCCCCCCAAAAAACTCAATGTCCAGTCCAGCTGATATAAAAACAAGAGGTAAGTTTATTGAGGGACGTTTGCACAAACGGGCCTCCCAGTCCGAAAGACAAAGGAAGCCCCGTTCCTCAAAAGCAGGCCTCTCTTATAGGAGGAAACCACAAGCTTTTAGGGAGGGGAGGGGGGTTGGGTACATGAGTCACACATCCTTTGGAGGTCTCTTATCTTTGGGGCTGGATGGTCTCCTCACTCAGTGGGATAGTCTGTTCTTATCTTCATGACCCCAGGGCAGGGTGGACCTCTGGAAATTCTTTGTATTTAGTTAGGTTATCTTGTGGCCTTGTAAGGGAATTATTGCTGCCGGCTAGGAAATTCCAGGGACTCAGGTCATTGTGACCTTGGTTAGATTTCTAAGTCAGGCCACCCTGTTTTTAGTGTGGGAGGTTTTTCTAAGTCTCCTTATTTTATTTGTTAATTTTTAAGTCCTTCATTCCCCCCTTTTATTTCTTTTAGGTAACCCATTCTTGGGTTACCAGTGGACAATTTTATCTTGTCCCCTATCTAAGGGAGTTTTCTTTTGACTTAGCATTTCGACCAGGGAAAATGGGTGACATATTCTTTCTCATGCTACTCCCTGCTGATTTTGGGGTGTTGTTTGGGGCCTGAAAAACTGAAACGTTAGTCAAAAGAAAAAGGGGATTCAGGCAATGGGAAGTAACTGTTTGGCAAGCTGTTGAAGAGACAGGGGTGTCTGCATCAGCAGGACCGGTTTATATTTACAGCACGTCTGGGGCTCGCAGTCCTCAGGAGCAGGCTATAGTCAGCAGCTGATACTCAGATATGTCCTTGAACCCTAGCAAAACTACAGATTTGGGTTAGAAGAAACCTCAGGGGACTTCAGCACTAGGTACAGCGTGGTACTGCTGAGTTAGGATGAGGGCTTGAGTGATGGATAACCTTTCACATATTGTAAGACCCCCGGAGGCTCAGGCCTTCAGAATCTTTTTCCCAGGACCAAGACCACCCCAATCACATGAGGAGGTGGAAACTTGATGCAAACAGCAAGAGGCTTTAATGAAAGGTGGACGTTTGTACAAACGGGCTCTCTCAGCATGCAGGCTAGAGAGCAGCCCCGTCCCCCAGGCACAGGCGTTTTTTTAAGGCAAAAACCACAAGCTTAGGGAGGGGCCTCGACTCTGTCCATTGAGTACATGACCAGAGTCATGGGTTCCTAGAAGGCCCTTTGTCTTGAGGGGAGGCCTGGGAGTCAGATGACCTCCTGACCCCACCAGTTGTAAAACCTGCAGACCTCAGGATGTGCCTGAGCAAGTGGTAGCTATCTCTTTGTTTCATAGGGACCCTTAATTGTTAATTATTGACAGATTGGCCAGTGGGGGAATCTGTTTCCTTCATGAGCCTCTCAGGGAGGGTACCATCTGGGAATTCTTGGTACCCAGTTATCTTATGGCCTTGTAAGCTGGTAAATTCCAGGCACTAAGTCATAGTAGTGGCCTTAGTCAGTTTTTGGGTTAGGCTGCCCTACATTCCGTTTGGAGAGTTTCCTTATCTGGGCTATATTTCTTTGCTAATTTTTAAGTCTTTCAGTATAAATTGTAGGAGCCTAGTGAGGAGACAAGGGCCGAATGTCAAGAGTAAGAGAAGTATGAACGGGGGTCCTACCAGGGTGGAAATCAGGGTAGTCAACCATGGGGTCCTATTGAACCATCCCTTGAACCATTCCTGTTGAGCCTCCGCCTCCGTCTGTTAGCTAATCTCTGAGTTTTGCCATGAAGCCCCTGATCACTCCTGAGTGGTTTACATAGAAGCAGCAATTCCTCTCTGAGGGCAGCACAGAGTCCCCCTTCTTTTAGAAATAATAGGTCTATCCCTCTCCGGTTTTGGAGGGCCAACTCTGCCAGGGAGACCAGCGATTCCTCCAGCCTGGTTATTGACTTTTCTAATTCCTTTAAATCTGCCGTCATGGCATTTTTGAGCTCACTATATTGTTGTGA